GTGGAAATGTCTTCGGTACTCGGCCTGTGTTTCTTTCAACCAACTGGCGTGTCGCAACTGCCTGGACCCCAAATATGAAATTGACAGTCGAGGGCCTCTTGCAAAAAGCCAGGCCCGCCTTCACTTGGGGCGGGCACCTCCGCCTTCACTTAGGGCGGGTAAGGCTGCAGACAGGGCCCAGTAGGCCTACCGAGGACATTGATCCTCGCACATCCTTCTGAGCACAAAAAATTGCAAAAGTTGGGGAACTTTTCCTGTTGGCCCACACGTGGTAGAGTGGTAAAAATGGAAAATTGCGACGAAACGGCGTGGCATTTATTTCACGGTCTAAAGTTTTTTTTTTTCATTTTTTGATATTTTTCCATTAAAGATCACAACCTAATCTATGGAATGTCAATTTTTCAGATTTTTGCATCAAGTCTTCTGAGCGCGAGAAATCGCCAAAGTTCGTGCTGGAAAATTTTTGGACCGGACCCGCCTGCCTGCGGCTGCCAGTCGCCGCGCCCCCTAAGAACCCGGTCCGTAAGGCCAAAGAAGAATTTAGGTTGGCGGGGGTAGTGGTGGTTAAACCGCCAGTTCACACGAGCCTAAGTTGACGAAGCTGCCTTTCACGCCTTGGGAACCTGTGACTGCGCGGCTTTCAAAGCAGTCTAGCTCAGTTCATTAGACTCGCAAGTGGCATTCAGGAGGTAGTGGGTTCAATCCCCACTGACGGTCTAGGCACACTTGGTGCCAACCACCTTATAGATTGATCTCCTCAGTTGGTATTGGTAGGGTCTTTTGTGTGTGTTGTAAATTTTCAACACAAAGGCGCCTGGTCCTTTTCACAGCCACTCAGCCACACAGTCATGATACCTAAATGATGATAAGCCTTCCTCAACACACTTGGAAATATTTCTGAGCAATGCAAAAAAAACAGGTCATATTCATTCGCATTAACTTCCAAGGCTGGTGATTTCCAGAAGCATATAAGCAGAAAAAGTGGGAGGACTTACCGGAAATCGACCAAGGATGTTCGTGGACTCAAAGAAGGTGGAGATATGCTCCCTTCTCTTGAATCGTCTGTTGAATCCAAAATAAGTCCCAGCTGGTAGTAGCCAGACTCCGTCGCTTGGAACCATGCTAGGTCCAGCTTTAGGTCATCACTTGATAAGCTTCATGCATCAGTAACAACACACACACACACACACACACACACACACACACACACACACACCATTTCTTAGCCCTTCTTGTCGCATGGCATAGTACTGCACCTTGTCCAAAACGTTTCTAACATTTATCAAGAGTGCAAGCTTTA